TTTGAATTCCACTGAATCAAGGTTAATTAAAAATTCAAACTTTAAATTTTAAAAATAAGAAACAAAAATTTGAATAAAAATTATTATTTCGTAGGTTAATAAAAATGATTTGAAAATTTAATAAATGTCAGTAAAAAAAAATGATTTCAACATTTTAAGATGTAACTCCAACATTTCAAGATGTAACTCCAACAAAAAAATGTCACTTCAACATTTTGTTTTAATAACAACCAAATTTTTTAAATTCCACTGAATCAAGGTCAATAAAAATTCATATTTTAAATTTTAAAAGTAAGGACCAAATGTTTTAATCAAATGTATTCTTTGTATACATCCAAATCGTAGGTTGGGATGTTTTTAGTACTTATAAATGTGATTTATTTGAAAAAAAAGGAAATTTTTGGAATTCAACACAGCAACACATCACATAACATGACATAGATCAACAGATTAGGATTCCATTGCAAAAAACAGGGTTTATCAATATATCAATATACATCACATAAACGTTATCATTGGCTGAACTCAACACAGCAAAACATCACAAAACGATTTGAATATTTAATAAATGTCACTTAAAAAAATGATTTCAACATTTCAAGATGTAACTCCAACAAAAAAACGTGAATTCAACATTTCTGTAAACATCTTGTCTCCAAGACACAAAATACCACTATTCAGTCACAGTAGCCCAATCTACGGGGTATTCTGATCTGCTTTTGCATGCATCAAATCTATTTAAAAAAAAAGGAAGAAAAAATTCAATTATCAGCATTTTCACTATGCGTAAGCAAATGACATAGTTTGCACATTATATTACGAAAAGCAAAAGAATATATATGCCACATGATTCAATTATAAATATAAATTTGAAAATACGTAAATCTTTTTCAAGCTTTTTCTTTTGGCTGTCCGAACAGCTGGAAAATTAAATTCTCCAGCAACGAAATCATGAGAATTGATCACTGGTGTCAACATTGTCAGAGAGATATCACCAACGTCAGCACTATCACATGTCTGACTCTCAACATCCTATTTATTATTTCGTAAAAAAATAAAGGTACGTTAAGTATCGACTTTTGCATAACATCAATCTAAATTCAAATAATGGGTTACCACAGCCTTTTCTGGTTCTGACGATACAATTTCATTTTCGCGTGCATCCTCAAAATTTGCTTCATCTTGTGATATACAATAACCAACAACAGTCAACAAAATGAATAAGAAAAATGGATACCCAACAGAAATAGAGAAGCAACATACATTTGGATCGATAAGGGACTTAATGAACGCTGAGATTATGTCTTCGCTGATACAAATTTTAGAAACTTGATACTTGGGCTCACTATATGAGTTCCAATCCTTTTGCTTGATTTTTAGTTTGAACAACATCGACTTCTTATTCAGAACATTTAACTCTTCTGGAAATTGATCCAAATTCGCACCCTACAGAAAAAAAGGATGATCAATTAAACAGGGGAAAAAAACAACTACAGCGCATACAGATTGCACTCTACGTCAAAATATACATTTTCAATATTTAATAGCAATGATAATACAAACCCTCTTAAAATGCAGCTCGCGCAATTCACCAGCACTCATCCCCAACAAAGACACACAGTCGCGATCAAACAGAAGAAATGATGTGGAATCCGTGTTATCCACAACTCTTACCTGAACACTAAATCTATCGTTTTGCAAAATTTTATATCAGAAAAAAATATTAAGCATACAGATTAAAGACAAATTAAAAACCAAGAACAATATATTACCTCGGATAATAATATTCCCAATGTTTTTGGCAGTTCTTACAGTACCACTTCTCAAAATCCTCAAAAACGAAAAATGGACATTTTTTGCAAGACTTGTACCACCAGTTGTATTCGCTCTCAATAGATTTTATAGTCTCATACGTGATGCAAGTCGTAACCTTAAATATAGCAATCGTAGGCAAACAGGAAACATCATTCATACAGACTTGATATAATTCAAGAAAAGTAAAAAAACAGAAATTCGATATTTACCTCACCACAAAGCTTCACATCACTGATAGACTTCTTTTCAGTCTCCTTCAGAAAATCATTTTCGTAAGAATAGGAGGACTAAGTAGACAACTGAGTCATCCTCAGACTGCTTTCCACACCATCAGCCGAAAGACTATAAAGAAAAAATTCATAACACCATAAATGATTAACCGATCGAATAAATTGTCAAATGAGTTCAAGAATAACAAACACACCATTTTTTGAACTCAACGATCTCTGGCATCTTCGAATCCATGACAATCCTTGTTGTATATTTTGTATTTGTTAACCCAACCTTACCTATAGAGTTGAGTATATCAAATAAAAACCGAAAAGCCAAAAATAAAATAACGTGAATAAAACAGAATACAGAAGCATCATACTGATAACGATAAAATAAAATCATACCCCTAAAACATTTTATCCTGCCTAGCTGGACTATCATGACGTTATGAGGAGTGTCGCTGTTTGCCAAAAAAGATTGGACCTCATCCACATAATGCTCCCACAAAGTGCACTCCAGCTTGTGGCCCCTTCATATGAGTTGCAGCAACAACAACGGTAATACATGAAAAATATAAGATAACAGAGCTTGACAAAATTATTTATTTTAAATCTATAACTTTAAATACCTCAGGTTATCAAGCTCCAACACAACCATTTTCGCCTTCCTACCAGACACCACACGATCACAAACTTCTCCAATTCCTGAGATTCAACCAATGACGTCTACAAAAAAAAGAGGGCAACAAAGAGTTCGTAAAAAAAATGCAAAAATTAAAAAATTAAAAACAGTTAGGAAAAATATATTACCCACTAAATAAGGAGAGTCAGATGTTTCTTTCTCGATGATGTCATAATCAACAAAATCAAATTCACTCGCAAAAATATTAGAATCAACAATTGATTTAAGATCAGTCCTCAAATTGAAAGACAAACGATACTGATGCTTGGTTGGCCTGAACACATCGCTATTGAATCCAACTCCAATGTTTTTATAAAATAGCACTCTCCTTCATGGATTTTCTTCCGCACCGGCAAAGAACCTTTGACAGTGGCGTGGATCTTACCACCCTACAAAAGAACGCAGCCAACTCACATCAATAACGTTAATTAAAATGATCAGAACAAAGATGGAAGATTTAAAAAAAGCAAAGATGGAAGATTCAAAAAACGCAGACAACTACTGTTCATCCAATAAAACCATTCCAACATTGTCGTCAAAATCTCTACGTTGAAAGTTAGGAACTTTCCAAGCACGAACCACCTTCACCTTAATCCTCCAGTCCTCTTTGGCAAAATTGACATCCTTCAGAAAATCATATTTTGAAAACATATTTTTGGTAAGACGAAAAAAGAGAGAAGGAAGAAGCTATTTGGTTGAGGAAGCTACGCGCAAACAGCTGATATTTGGCAGCAGAAAAAAATAAAAAATTCAGAAGCAACAAAATCATCCCGTGTTCGCATAGAATACAAAGAAGCAGATGTATTTTTTAAATTCTTTAACCAATCCAATGTAGAAAGTAGCTCAACATTAATTGAGTTGCATGCCACAATTCAGAATTCAAAAATCAAATTTAAAATTTCAATTTAAAATTCAAATTCAAATTCCGAAATTCAGAAAGCAGTGAGACATTAACAATAATTTGTAGAAAGTAGAGGTACATTAAATGTTTTGTCTGCCACCAACCATTTATAACAAATCTTGACCATTGATGTAAATGAAGAAATCTTGTCCATCGATTTGCTCTTCAAAAATTGATTTTGTTTTATATTTATTTTATTCACTGATTTATCAAAGTTTTGTAGTGTGAACACAAAGCTGAAAGTGAAGGAGGAAGTGACACGTCAGCGGAGTTGCCAAAGAATGAGTTTTTGTTAGAATATAAGATATCACTATGCTATCTTTACGCTATAGAGAACCAGGGTGTAATATTTTAGTATCTAAGAAAATGATATAAAAATAGGATAAAAAGATATGCATAAATAATTCTCCAAAAAAAAAAAAATATGCATAAATAATATTATTATTTAGCTAATTAATCGAGTCAAAAAAGTATTGTACTTTTAGTTGAAACAATGATCGAGGAGAAAACTGTAACCACACAAAACTAATGGCAGGCCAGTCTCGCCCAACACAGAAAAACAGCAGGGATTAGGCCATTTTGACTTGTGACTTGTATATTGCCTCATGGTCTGTAAATTAGGCAATCGCTTTGCTTGCTTTCCAATTTTTTTTTTTTCTGGAGTCTGTTTGATAAAACTTATCTTTCTATAGCACACGAAAGAAGGAGGCACACATATATACTAATAGATAAATTTATATATCATATATAAAATCATTAATTTGGTCTTCACTTAACCACTTAAATTTTTGAATTGAATATATTGTCATACGTGATATCAAAATTTATGTGACCAAGTAGTGATAAGTTTAATCACCAACATCTTCGTTTCCTAATAAAATAAATAAATTAAAATAAGTACAAGTAAAAAAAAAAAAAAAAGAATCCACTTGCATGCGTCTATGAGTCTATCATGTGCACAATGATATCCATCAGGCTTACAAAATGTACTAATCACAAAATCACTTTCTATAAAACCTCGGTTAGTGAGATTAGGGGACGAGGACAATCCTTATATTCTTACATATTTACAAAAAAACTATTTTCCATATTCAAACCCATTATTTTTTAGTCACAAATAACATTTCTATCATTGCTAAACGCCAGCCCTCTTACAAAAAGGACTAAACAATTAAAATAAAATAAAATAACGCATAGCGTGGAAATAAAACTAAATCACGAAATGGTGAATCTATATATGTATAAGCCACTGACTGAATACATTTAACTTTCATTGCGTGCCATAAAATGAATGAAAAGAATCATCAACATATATACAAGTTTAAGTAAAAAATAAAAAAACTACGGTAAATTGATACTGATAATAGACATTGCTTCTAGCTTGGTGAGGTTAGTAATGGCAATCCACCAAAGAAGATGTAGAGAAGACAATAACATTTTCTCTGGGCAGAAACGTAAACTTGGATTCTCTGTGATCAGCATCCTCTGGTGCTGGAAGATTCAAGTCCAACTTCAAAACATTTCTGGGTTTCTTAGCTTCTTGGGAATCAGAGCTACCACCACCACCAATATTACCACCGCTCATAGAAGTTGTTGTGGATGTATTCACAAAACTTCTGTGCCGTCTCATATGGCCCCCCAAGGCTTGCCCAGAAGAGAACTCAACCCCACAAATAGAACACTCGTGAATTTTGGATTTTGTTGCAGTTGTGGTAGTAGTAGTAGTAGTAATAGTGTTGTTGTTATACATAGCCCTATTTGGTATTTGCAAGGAAAGTATGGTACTTGTGATGGGATCATAATGATTAGTACCGTTTGTCTTAGGTTTCTTGTGGCTTGTTCTATGTCCACCAAGAGCTTGGAATGAAGGGAAGCATCGGTTACAAGTCTTGCATTGGTAAAGGTATTGGCCTAACTTGTTATGCTTGTTATCATGACCTTGAGCCAAGAGAATGAGACAATTGGCCATGTCTTCTTCTTCGGTTCTGTCCCTCAACTCAATTGTGGTGTTGGGCGAGGTTGTTGTTGTTGTTGTAACCATGTCAAGTCCTTCACAATTGTCACTACAAGAAGTTGAAGGCATGGCTACCCGTAGTGGGGTTGGTAACCTTTGACGCTTGGCGCGCTTGCCTTTGCCTTTGATTATCTGCGTTTGATCCTTGGAAACCACGAGTTCCTCCTGGACTTGCATGTTGCAATTGTTTCTATGTGTCAAGGTCAAGAATGAGAATAAAGGGTGATCGAGAGAGAATGAAGAATTGTAAGAGAGTTTGAGTTATAATATATTAGTGGTGTGAGAAGGTTTCAAGTAGAGGCAAAGGCCTTCCCCGTGAAGAGTATATAATTAACCGCGTTTTTGGTTTTGCCAGACTTGCGTTTTCCAACCTTGGAAGTTATATATTTAGGGATATAATATTGTAACTATACAGGTGTACGTGTTGTGTAGGGAAGAGAGAGAGAGATGCAATGTTTAGTATGAGGAGGCGAGGAAACGAGTGAGATTCGGTTGGCTTTGAAGCAAACTCATTACTTTTTTTTTTTTCTCAACGATTCCTTTCTAGATTGGCTTGCAAGACTAGAACCAAACACAAAGAATTTGCAACTTTCTCATCTCACTTTTTTTATCTCCTTTTTATTTGCTTTTCTTGCTTGTGTTTCTGTTCATTCTTAATTTCTAGCTTGCTTCCTTTGCTTCTAATAGTACAGCTTTAATTTAACTAATTTTATACCCAATTCAATTAGTAATCAATTAAAAAACTCCATGCGAAGAAATTGTGGGTTGGACATGATCCTTATGACTTGTGATGCGAGATTATCGTGTATTGTTAATTATTATTCTAGCTAGAAGCCATGACTTAAAAGAGCAATTATAAATGGAATGAATATACACACTTGCTAAGAAGGGAATTCATGTGCACTCCACTTACTTTGCACATAGTCACTACCTCAGTTGACAATAACCCAACAATCACGCCGCATATATGCAACACAATTATGCGATTTATATAGTCGTACCCAATCATTTGGTTTTCGGTAAAAAGCACTATATATTATATATTGAGTATGAATGTGTCTTAAGTCTTTAAATATTACAATCAATTAATGCACACCCTCGTAATCATCCATGTTTTCTCAAGTTAAAATGTGAACTGACTCTATGATTAGCATGTAACAAAATTTCAAAATAGGATTATATGATATTAGAATACCAAAAGATTCAGGCTTACTTGATTCTTGATTTCTTGAAGCTTCTTGTTTCCTCAACGCTCCTGCAATGGAAAGACTAGAATCTTCCTCTGCATTTCACACCACTCCCTGATCACAACCGTTGATGGGGCGAGTTGTGGAGTAACGGTTTTCTAACACGTTGTGAATGCGGAGGGGACCTAGCCAAACTTATTAACCCTAGTCCCCTTCCCATCATGGGCCTATGGGTTAGGTCTACAGTGTTACCCACACTAATCAATTTATAGATATCCAAGCCCAAACAAAAGGATCACTAATTAAATGGGCTTTATACTGCACCCCTTTATGGATCATGACTTAGCCCGTTTTTATTAAAACAAGAAAAAACTACAATTGATTGAAGCCCACAATTATTATAAAATTTTCTTAGATAGCATTGTTGTGAAACCCGACCTGATCGGGTTGGAACTTGGCGAATCAATCATCGGATCAGTTCGGATTAAGCATTGGACCGATCATGCATTGGATCCGATTAAATCCGGACAAAGCCGGTCAAACCCGATCAAAACTCGTGACCTAGTCAAGTCATGCATTTAAAAACAAAAAACAAAATCAAAATTGTTTTATCTTGTCAGAAAAAAATGTAGAATTCATTTTAAAAACTTTTTGTAATTTTATTTGCTAGTATACTCTTCTACAATTATCTCGAATTTCATTTTCCAGCAAAATGCGAAATAATAAATTAAGATAATGTGACATATGTCATTTCAATGTAAATGAATTTGAAAAATATGAGTTAAATGTCATTGAGAGGTATGTTTATTTGTGCTAGCGTGCATTTTTATTTATTTGTGCTTCATGTTTTTGAACTTATTTAGTGAAGCTTGTTTAACTCATTTTAGATATAGAAAATATAATTAAATTTACATGTTTATATTTATATATATTTATATATATCCGGGTTAATCGGTTTGACCAGTGATCTACCGGTCCGACCAGCGATCTAGTAACCCCGTACCCCAACCAGATTAATGCTGGGTCGGGTTTAATAACACTGATGATTAATATGAATAAAATAACGGCGCTTTCACACCAATGAAACTTTCATTTATTCTATAATTAGTCAACTACTTTTTCCCCCTCTCCTTAATTAATTTGAATCCGGTATAACTACTTTACTGAACATAACTAATTTATAGTAAAGCAATTTTGTTACTTAAGTTTTGCCTTGTGAAAGCAGCCGAATGATTGGACTGAGATGAGAATTAATTAAGTATAAGCTCGAGTTGTGCTAATCACTACTTACTGTACTAAAATAACTAAATAAGTATTATCCAACTTTTTTCATTTAATTTTTTCTGTAGATACCAACTGATATTCGAAATCTTAAGGTAGTGTTTGGTTGGGGAGAAATTTTTTGAATACTAGAGAAATGTAATTACTGGGAAATGGTTGGAAAGTGAGTTTGGTAGGAAAGTTAAAAAAAAGTTGTTTGGTTAGATATAATTTTACCGGGAAAGTTGAGTAAATTTTTTGAATGTGTGTTTGGTTAAAATTAAAATATTGATGGGTAAATTTAGTTAAATTACCAAATAACCCTTATTTGAAACAACCCTTTATTCAACAAGCTTATTCCACATCGTCTTCCCTGTTTATGTTTGGCATCTCTGTCTCTCTCCCACTTTGTCACTGTCTCCGCGTGTGGTTCCAATTTGACCTCTACCATCTGATTGTGGTTCCAATCGGTGGCAAGATTGAGAAAACCCCAAGGTTGGAGATGACGTCGTTGTTCTGCACTTTTGTTTTTCCGTTTCCATTTCATTCAACTATTGTAATAGGTCCTGTGTAATTTGTGTTTGCGCATTATGTGCAAGCAACATTTGCTAGGTCAAATACCACTACTCTCTGTGTGGAGATATCAATTCGGGTTGATATAACACGAATCTTGTGTCGTGCATCAAGAATTGATACTCCTATATATGGGTGAGCTCACTTACCTGGAGATTCTCGAATTCCACGAGCTACCCAAACTCACCGCCCTAATCCAGCCCACCATCGCAAAGCTCACCAAACTCAAGTTCCTCACCTTAAAAAAGAGGGGTATATTTGTCATGCATTTTTAACCTTTTTCACTTATCCGATACCCTCAACTAAAACCACCTATTGAAATGGCTTCCCCAACAATGTCGATATCTGATTTTTGCACTTGAGATTGCTTTGCAGGGGAAACGGCTTTGCTGAGGAAATTTTCCTCAAAGCTTCAACCAAACGTGGTTGAGTGAGATTCCCACATGCACTTACCCACCAAAATTTCAACTTCTCCCCAACCAAACACTACCTAATAGATCACCCCACAAATCCAGTTTCATGATTGTGCCTCACCACCCTCCCCATGAATTACAACTCTCGGAAGTCAGATTTATTATCCTTGAGGCAAGTTAAATCTAGAGATTTAACTAGGTCACCATTAATTAGACCAACAACTCTTAAATTTTTAATATTTGAATAATACATGTTTATACGTATATATAATTAACTAGCCAATTGAAGTTAAGATAGTGTTATGAGGCCTAACATCATTCCGGCCAGAAAATTTGTTTTCTTAAGAAAGGAATCAAATTAATGAAGAAAATTAAAAAAAAAAAAAGGTAGTGGAGTATGTTGTATTATACATGCATGGACGGTTGACGTACGGGTTTTAGTGGTGTAAGGTATAGAGTATGGGAAGATACGAAGGTAAGACAGATTCTTAGCGTAAGGAATTCTTATGGAATGGATGGGTTGAGGGCCACGTAACGGCCAACGCCAGCATCAGGTATAGGTTAGTTGCTTCGTGGCTCAAAGCAAAGCATCTTTTTCTCTGCTGCTTAATAATCTTATTATAAAACTCTTCTCAATTATTGTGGATTTAATTATAATCAAATTCAATCGATGCAAGAATGAATACTAGACCTACACTCCTACTACGCTAACTCTCCACCTTCTCGTATCTCCGAAAATATGAGAATCTTTATATGATAATGCTGTTTGAGCTTAGAAAAGACACAAAACGCGTTTGTAGGTGAGAACACCATGCAATTCATATATAACAATAACGTGTATATATTAATCCATATATATGTTATGTGTTTTTTTTTATTAGAAGAATATGTACCTTATTATTTAGATGTTCTATTATTGTATACTAGTACTAAATAGCTTCATGATTATTATTATTTTTTATTTTATTCAATGTGACGTTTGCTACATAATTATTATTTAACTTATTATTAGTTTTTAATCTTATAAAACAGATAATATAATTCCTTTATGTTAATTTAAAAAATCACTCAACTTAATTTTATAATTTCATATTAACTTATTATTTGATATATATATATATATATATATATATATATATATATATATATATATATATAAGTTATGAAATATAATATGAATATATTATATCCATTCAACCACGTAAATTTCAATCACTGTAAAATAATAAATAGTAAATAAATATCTTCAACATCATATCTAATTTCAAAAATATTGGGCCAAGGAAATTGAAGTTTCCAAAATAATGTGTGGAAAGGAACAGGAACTTTACTCAGTTATATATAGCTAATGATGATATTAATTAATTGTGTATATTTCCATGCGAAGTACGTATTGACAGAGTTGTTCCTTCTTGGATTAAGAGTCAACGCTCAGAAGAAAGAAGCTGTTAAGCGAGAAACGTAATATTAGTTTCAATAGCTATTTCAATAATTAATATTTCCGAAAAGCGTTCATCTTGTGGCTGTAGTTTAGTGGTAAGAATTCCACGTTGTGGCCGTGGAGACCTGGGCTCGAATCCCAGCAGCCACATTTTGTGTTTAACAGGGGTTTTAAAAAAAATTCAGTTATAGTTTTAAAAAAATTCTCAAAAAGTAAAACTAATTAACGTGATCATGACTACTTATACATCTAATAACTTATGGGGATATTTTAATGAGCAAGGTTATAGTTACAACTTTTTTT